TCAGAGACAGACAAAAGTCAAGAGCGTCTAAGCTGCGGCGGCGGCAGCGGCGGGGTCGGCGGCGTTTACCTTTTAATGAAACGCGCCACTTGAGCTCAAAGTGCGATAGCCGCTGCAGCATATCCGTGTGGTTAATAAATGTATGGCGCTTATAGGGGCAAAGAAAAAGCGAATTTTTAATAGACATACAAATATTTGTATGTAATAAATAACCGTAACATAAATTGAAGTGCTCTGGCGGCCTTAACTGCACTATCTGAATTAAATCATAACGGTGCCCTTTGCACACACACACACACACACACACACAAACACTCGCGCGCAAGTTGACATATTTATATTTACATACACACTTCACAGTGTGTGTTTGTATACAAATGTGCGGCGAATTAGAAAATCATTTATTGGCTTTCTCTTTCGTTTTATGCACACAAATACACACCCTGTTTGTGCCTGCAGCGTTTATTTAACCATCAATAGCACTCAATAATATTTGCCATGTAATTTATATTAAATATTAGGCAAGCACTCGCAACCAACGCGCAATGAATCTAAATTCGTTGGGTTTGCTGTAAACCTCATCAACCTGCCTGTACGTCAAGGTACAACGCGTCGCAACGCAATGAGCAGCGCAACTGATCTGCGCCAGTAATCACACACTCACTCTTTCGCTCTTGCTCTCCACACGTTCGCTCGCTCTCTACAAAATATGCACACGCTCACACACACACACAAACACACTTCATAAAAATGGCTCAACGAGTATCATACAAAAAAAAAAACAACTTTGGTATGACAATCGAATTGTGCAAACAGAAACTCATAGAAATAGGTATTTAACTGGATCTCTCAGTTACAGTTATAGCTGACTGACATAACCTTAGTCAGACTTTAAAATTCAACATTTCGAATCCAATTCATTCGAATTCATTCGACTTCTGTTTCTTCATTTTAAATTCAAGGTATTATCGTCAATTAGGATTTCTGGATAAATTATAGAGTGTCCCATAGAAGAAAAATGTAGCCAACATTCTTTTACAATAAATTTTATTTTGCATTCACATGCGAATAACCAATACATTTGTTTTCAAAGTCTACACATTTTTGTTTGTTTTCGTAATGAATTTATGCTTATGTGTTAAATTAGGTATTTAATAAGTATGTAAGTAATATATTCTCATGTGTCGAGCGTTTGTGGCATTTGCTCCATTCGCTTGACTTATGCATTTTGAAAATGTTTAATATGTAGGCTCCGGGGTTTTTGCTTTTCTCAGTGATCTCTTGCAGTTTGTCGTCTCCAGTTCTACGTAGGGATTTCTCCATCTGATTTTAACTACAAGTTTCCGTTTTTAAGTGTTGTTGCTACACAATAATTATATTTTTGTTGCCAGCGTGTGTGAAAAACATACATTTTAAAAATAGAATAAAAAAGTATACAAGTTGATTACGCTGTAATAAAAATATTAGTGATATTAGAGTGTATAAACAATCGACATGTGGAGGCGTGTTTGTGGAACCGGGAAAGAGACAGAGAAAAATGATGAAACAATAATTAGTTAGTAATTTGGTTTATATTTAAGGTTTCTTCTTTTTTGTTTTTGTTGGTTTGCTTTTTGCATTAACGCACACGCACACAATTTATTCGACATGGACAAATTTGGAGACACTAGGAATTATATGGGGTTTATGCTTGGTCCAATTTGCGAATTAAATACAGCACTGGCTACACACGAGGTGTTCACACATTTGGTTCACACATTCTGGTTTGGCTACTCATCCTCTAACATTCCGAAACACTCTTCAGTTGCTGCTCCCCCCCAGCGACGATATCATTATTCTCGGTATTAGTGTTCAGCTCGAGGACAACGCCAACAGCCTCAGCCGCTGCGGACATGGGCGGCGGCTCAACGACCAGCTTAGAGGCGAGGGCCGCCTCAAGCTTCAGGCCCATGCAGGGCGGCACAGAGGTTCTAAAGACATTCAGTTCCATTTCTAAGGGTTCGATATATAGATTATACTTGCAGCATATGGAAAAGTTATTCTATCTGTGCTGGTACTGTGCTGGCGTGACGTGTTTAAATTGCGTGTGTGTCTCTTGGACCCATTGGGTTCTATGCTTACCAGCTGCTATTCCAGCAATTGCCTGTGCAGCGAAATGCTTAACATCTACATCGGCGTCAGCATTCAGTTTGTCCAGCGTCGGTTTCACTTGCGCATCAATAACGCTCGCCTCCAGGAACGGCGAAATCTTCTGCAATGTTTTGGCCACATTGAAGCGCACATTGGCAACTGGATCGGCGGCGAGCAGCAAAACTGTCGGCAGCAACAGTTTTGTAGTTATTTCCGTTCCGCAAACCTCGGCCAAAACGTTGAGACAGAAAAGGCAGGTCATTCCTAAAAGATATATAGAAATTTAATAAATTGTATATTTATTAAGTATGTGTGCTTACTGTGCAAATAGTTCTTGTTGCGTGACATGACTAATATCATTGGAATAATGGCCTGCTCGGCCCAAGGTGCACCGAACTGTTCAACAAGTTTCTTCATATTTAATGTGGCTGCCTCACGAATAGCATAAACATGATCATTCAGCCAGCCCATGCAGAGACCGCGCAGTTTCTGATCGAAGAACTCCTGACCCAACTGGCCAGCCAACGCGGGCATGTACTCAATGATTGCGAGGCGTACGCGCCACTTGGAATCCTCAGCCAACTCAACAATGGCGGGTAGTAGGGACTGTTGAGTATATCATATATTAAAATACTTTATACTATTAAATTTAGGACAGAGTTTCCACATTACCTGCGACAGCTGCTGAATGCCAATGACATCGTTGACGCAGTCCAAATTTGAGATGATATTAAGACGCACTTCCGGGCACTCGTCCTTTAGCTGTATGAGAAACAGGGGCAGCAGTTGTTCGACTGTTTGATAAGCGCCAAGCATGGGACTCAGGCCCATAATAACAGAGGCCAGAGCTGATTTGACATGTGGATTGGGATCGGAAACCAAATCGCGCACATATGGCAAAATGGAGCTCAAAATTATTTGCACCTGATTTGCCTTATCGAGGCTGGCACAAAAGTCCTTGACTTTGGTGGCGACAGCGGCGCGCACCTCAGCTTCGGCATCTTTGAGCAGATATTGAAAAGCGGGCACGAGATCAACACGTGTGATCTCTGGACCCACAGCCTTCTGTAGATCGACAAACTTCTCGGCGACCATGTAACGCACGCGCCATGATGAATCGCTGGCGCACTGACGCAGAGTGGGTAACACCAGCTGGAAATAGTAAGAGAATAATATATATGTGATGAATGGCCAAAACGTGCTCGACTAATTCACTAACATGTTCGACATCGTCCTGTGGCAGCAATTGAGCAATGCTGACGCACGCCTCCACAGCTAACAGTCGCACAGAGTCCTGATCGTCCTGCGCCAGTTGCACGAAGTTCGGTATCAAGTCCGATTTGAGATACTCTGTCTCCACCACCTTAGCGAATTCGCCTAGTTTATTGGCTGCGGCGCGTCGTACCATGGGCGTCTCATCCTGGCACAATTTACGGAAATTGGCACGCAATTCGGCCTTGACCGGCTGTGTGACGCGTGGATAGCACACGGAGAAAAGGCCACAGGCCGAGGTGCGCGAGGTGAACCAATCACCGGAGACTAAACGCTGCAGCGTCGGCACCACATGTATCTCCAAATCCAGAGCACTGTGCTCCGCAGCTACAGTGCGCAGAGATTCGACTGCCTTGTCACGTACCACCGTCTCCTCAACGGTGGCCAAACTCTCCAGGGGCGGTAACAAGTACATGGCATATTCCGGCCCACCCACAAGACCTGAGAAAAATATATATGCACATCTATAATAGATTGTTGCAGGTTAAGGTGCAGATTTTCTTACTTGTAAAATTGCCCAACTGATCGGCCAACGCCAAGAGCACCTCATCTTCATCGTATATTGTCTCAGTTAGGAAGGGTATCAGCTCGGAGCGTGTGCGTTCCTCGCCCAAAGCGAGCGCTATTGTTGATAGCTTTTTGATCGAGTTCAAGCGCAACTATGAAAGGCAAATAATTATTCAATTTAGCATGTCTCTAATTAAACAAAATACAAAACAATAAGCAAAGTTCTCATATTCGGTGCGCCGAAGGTTAAATACCCTAGCACACATCGCTTATTTTGTTGAAGATATAATTAAAACAAAAAGATATTTTCGATTGATTAATTTATGACAATTATATGATATAGTAGTCCAATCCGGCAGAAGCCGACATAAGTTTTTAAGCTATATCGATTTTTTATTTTTTTTTGGCTGTTGATGCTGTTGATATACATATATACTCTATGGAGCCGGATATGTCCCTTTCTGATACGTTTTGCAGGGGGAAGGGACCAAAGCTCCACCTATGCACGCACACACTGACAGATCTGCGCTCACGCACACGACTTGCTATTCACAGTGACGCATTTTTTTGCATAAATGTGTACATACCCATGCATATATGCAGATATTTGCACTAGTTGAGCAAATCGTAAATTAGTTAATTAGCTTAACAATAACTAACCTGCACATCCTCATTTTTCAATTCATCAATTAATACCGCAATGGGATAAAGAGAATCATCGACAGATTTGTCGCTTGCTGCCATTTTCTTTTCTCACACACACAATTGTACAAAAAATCGGTTTTTTCTATTCCGCACGAAATACACAGGAGGCCCAATAACGATTTAACTGTTTACAGTTATTATTAAATGCCTTCGTACAGTTTTTTGATAACAACCTATTCGAAAATGTCCACAATTTCAATATTTTCTCTGATTGATTTTCCAGTGAAAATGCGATTCGTTTCCGTGCAAAAATTTTTTTATTCTACGAAATGACACAACGAGACAAGAACGATGCTACTCGATACTTTTAGTTAACAGAGCTGCTCGCCCGGTAAAACAGTAACACTCCTCATTTAACGACTAGCAAATGGAAAATGCCAAAAAAATAAAAATAATTCATTTTTATATTTTAGTTTTCTAAAAACGAGACAAACTCGGTTAATTTCAACAACTGATCATCGCTGGCAATGCGTGGAGTTATCTCCTTCACTTTCGGCAGCAAAATTTGCTTATCACCATCCTGTTCGCGCGTCCAATCCAAGCACGCATTTTTTAGTTCATCCGATGTCAACTGGGCCATTTCCATCAGATTCTCCTCGTATATGGATACATATGCAGTAGCGGTCAGGTTGAGCAGCTCCTCGCGTTGTTTAACTGCGATAAGACAAATCTGTAAGTCAACCAGTTGGGCATATAATTAGTGTTTCTCACCCAGAAGATCATCAATGATTAGCTTATTAGTCTCGGACCAGTCATATTTAATATGCTTAAAGAAATCTGCATAGCTGTTGTGCTGCAGGGCAAGATTTAAGAGATTTAGTTGTGCCAGTTCTTTGTTTTGTTCCTTCAGATTATTTGATATACGCATCCAAAGTAATTTTGCATTGGCTCTATAAGCAAACAATTGGTTAAAACATAGTAAAACATAATATGTTCACACTCACGCACAGTTTGTTTTGATAAAGATAAATCGCCATTAGCTGCTGGTAAATTTCAGCGCCCGGTGATATGTTCTATAACAATAAGCAGGTGGCTTTACATTAATATCGCTGATTTGGCATTATATTCAAATGCTTACCTCGAGCTCCTCATTTTCCAGCTTACTCAGCGTATCACTATATTTATCTTGCTGCATTTTTTTCTGAACAAAGTATAAACAATTGTTAGAACAAATTTTTCAGTAAGCAATATCTACATATATAACGAGTGGCGAGTCTGTTGCTGGTTGGCATGCCGCTGTTAACCTGAGAGAAATTATGTTAAGTTACGAATGTAAATGCAACTCTGCGCGGTTTTTGTAGAGTTTAGTTGTAGAGTGTTGTTCCGCAAGTCTCCACTTTCTTTTCGGTGTAAAAAACTAAGCTAGTAACATCATGGGTCGTATGCACGCTCCTGGGTAGTTGATTTTAATATTATCTATAAGCGAGTATGGTTGTAAAATGTGTTTTCCTAACGTGCCATAACGAAACTGACACAATTGCAATATTGTATCTGCATATAACGCGCTTATTTTAATCGAGTTTTTAGCCACCATGGCAAGCACATGTTGCAAACGAATACTCTCGCTCTTCTTCTTCACGTTGTCGTCATTCACTGGCTAAATTAACAAATACGATTTGCTTCGCAGCAAGGGTATATCCCAATCAGCACTGCCCTACAGACGCACAGTCCCATCGTGGCTGAAGCTGAACGCTGAGGATGTTAAGGATCAGATCAAGAAGCTCGGCAAGAAGGGCCTGACTCCTTCCAAAATTGGTATTATTATTGTATTTGTTTACGGTTTGAGGTTATGTTTAATGTGTTTAACTTTTCAATCATTTCAGGCATTATCCTGCGTGATTCGCATGGCGTTGCTCAGGTGCGTTTTGTCAATGGCAACAAAATTCTGCGCATCATGAAATCGGTGGGCCTCAAGCCCGACATCCCCGAGGATCTATATCACATGATCAAGAAGGCTGTGGCCATCCGCAAGCATTTGGAGCGCAACCGCAAGGATAAGGACGGCAAGTTCCGTTTGATTCTGGTTGAGTCCAGAATTCACCGACTGGCTCGCTACTACAAGACGAAGAGCGTGCTGCCCCCCAACTGGAAATACGAGTCTAGCACCGCATCTGCTCTTGTTGCCTAAATTTTCAAATATGTGAGTGCATTCACTGTACAAGATGTACGTGAACAACACAAAAGGAAAATAAAACTAAAATATTAAAAAAATAAATAAAAACAAACAAACAGAATAATCTGTAGGTGAATAAAATGTACATATGTATATTAACTTTTGTATATCTGTGGTTAGAGCACAAGGGGGTGCGTAGCCGGCTTGAGTAGGCGGGTTTTTTCGCTCGCTGGTTGCCAATAACAACTTGTTTTACATAGTTAAATAAAGCGCATATGCATTTATTTCAACAAGGTCTAGCCGAAATGACATAATCATAATTATTGATTTAATTCCTTAATGATAAATGTCATCCTCTTAATATGTATAGCCTACATGCATCGATTCCGAGGGCAACAAAAAATGCCGAAAATGTGCTATAAATGCATCAAAGATAATACAATAATTATTAGTTGAAAAATTTGTAAGTACTCTTTAGATATGCTTACAGAATGTTAATTAAAAGATGTTTATGACATTATTAAATTTGCGGCATAAATTAACCGTTGCTTTGAAAAATCCCTTGGGGCGAATTACAAAAATAGGTTTGCCGTACGCTTTCTACAAAAACGAAATACTTGAATTCGGTATAGTTAGTTAACCTTCTAAGTTAGGCTATACACCCCCAATGCTCTTAAATGCTTTCTAATTTATAATTTATGTATGTATAAAAACTTGTTGATTTATTTATTTTACGTGAGTAAGCACATACATACATAAATATATGAGCATATATGTATGTACATAGACGGGTGCATATGTGTGCGTGCGTTTACTGGTGGCGAATTCAGTTGAAAAGAGCTGAATGCCGCCAGCTGTTTTTCAGTAGCATGCCGCCCTTTAAGGCAGACGGTTCGTTTTTGTTGTTGCGCGCTTGTTCTACGTACGTTAATTGTTAATTGCCTTTTGGTTTCCAACAACAGCAAAAAGAATATAATGATTTTCAAGTTTTATTGAGCATAGTTCAATTTAAGCAAACGTATGTATGTATTTGTGTTTATTTCGATTCACTTGAATTGAACAATTATATTAATTTGCAATGTGTTTATATTTACTACATATAGACAATTTTTTGCGATTAGATAATGTAGAACAATTGAAAAATCGACCTTTATCTAAAATAACAATAGATAATCGGAATTAGTGAATGAGCAGGAACTGAGTTTTTGTATTGGCGCACCGTTAAGCTAACTGTAAATGCGGACATAAGATAAGTGCGCATACACATGCATGTTTGTGTATACACATATAAATAGAACGATAAAACAAAGAAGACAAAAAATACATACGTATGTAATCCAATGTTTTGCAAATGTGCCGCCCGCGTGGTCTGTTATAAGAATGTATATACAATGAATGTGCATATATATGTGTTAGTGACTTCTTATATTGCAGACTTGCGTTGGAGTTGTTCACGTGCAGTTGTGCCTGTGTGCGTGCGTCAATGTTTATAAGTATATACAAATATTTGTTTGCACAAATATAAATATAAATGTGTTATGTTTCGTTGTTAATATTACAGGCCGTAAACACAAACATGAATAATTATAATTTTAGAATTGCATTAACGTATGTCTGCTGGTCGGTTTGCATTTTTGTTTAAATTTACATTAGCTACATATATGCATTCGCACGCACTTATGTACACTTTGTAACCGTCGTTAATTGTTAGTTGGATTGCAACAATGTTTACATTATTTGCCGGCAATAATAGCGTGCACACAATTGTACACACATACATACATATATAAAAGTCAAGTCTAACTCCCAGCTTACACACACACACACACATGCATCTGCGTCGGGTAATTGTATGTGGCTAAGCTCACGCATACACACAAATGAAAGTTGCGCATATCGTGAGATTAAATCGCTGCACAATTGATCTCAGAGCTTTGCAGACAAAATTGCTGCAATACATGTGCTTTTTTGAATTACAGTTACAGGCATGCATGTGCATGTTACAGGTGTCAGCAAAATGTTTTATCCGATTATATACAAATTTCAGGGGCGTGCTTTTGATAAATTCAAGACTACAAAAGGGCTATACACACACACACATACACATACTCATGTACATATACATATGCATGCATGTGTGCATAAATTTAACTGTATAATTACGTACAATCAGAGTAAATCAATCAATGCGATTACAATAGTAATTAGCAATTAGAAAAAAAAAGAACAATGTCATACTATTCTGCAGTTTTCTCTATAAAACACCTTATCCATTACGTATAGTTTTTCAGCTTCAAACGTACAAAATGCAGTCTATTAAAACTGCAGACTTGCCGGAAAATCCACGGGAGCATGCCAATTTTATATCGGCAGCATGTTTCTGGTATGTAATTAATCAATTTTTATCTATAATTTTCTATTCATAATGATACAATACGATATGCACACAGGTACACCATGCCCACGTTCCTAAAGGGACGCAAAAAAACGCTGGAAACTGAAGATCTCTTCAAGGCATTGAAGGAACACAAGTCAGGTACATTTATCTAAACTAATTCATCAATTCGATATTAAAGCTATGTCATATATGTTTGTGTTATGGGACTGCTTTCTATAAGCGCCATTTGAATCATATTTCGCCATATAATGAAAACAAATCTTACTCAACTTCCATATATCCCTTTGTGAGTCACATCACGGAACAATTCTGTAAATATACATACATACTTATATTTATAATAATGTCAGATGATTGACTTACATAAACATATTCATATTCAATGCTATGTACATTTAATACAATTGATTTCATTCAATATATACGAATTGAAGTACAGTGATCAGTCGAAGATCCTAACTTTTAGAAATATAGAATTGTCCAGAAATAGATATTTTTACAAATTTCTAATTTGACTTTGTAAAGTCCTCCTTAATTTGATAAATTTTAGTTTAGCTGGCTTAACCCACAATCAGATCCGATGTGTTCTTCTTGGAGAGCGAGCACTGTCATGATTCGAATCCGATTTAAAACAATTGAATGCTTGGGCAAATCCAAACTTATCAGTCTTTTAAAGAAACGAAGCCACATGTGTAAATTCGGTCATTGACTTGGGGCATTGTTTGCTTGAGGAAGATTTTGTAATTGTTTGTGCTGATAAGATTTGGCCTGCAATGATTTTATTATCTTATTTACGGGCCTTGCAAACAGATCTTTATTTTATGTGGCTGGCATTATTCGCCATATCATTGCGAAATTTTGATGCAGTGTGATTGTTGATTATACATTTTATTGACAAATGTTTCCATCTTTATAATAAAATCTTCTTATATTTTCTAGAAACCCTTGGAAATGATTTATGCGCCGCCTGGGAGCGGGAGTTACAGAAAAAGCAGCTGAACGCCAAAAAGGAACCGAGCCTTCTGTGCGCTCTCGTGCGTGTTTTCGGATTGCACTTTGGCATGCTGGGACTGGTGCTCTTCCTGCTGGAACTGGGTCTGCGCACACTGCAGCCGCTGTGTCTGCTCAAGCTGATATCCTACTATACCTACGGCTCGGAGACAATAGAGGCTGCTTATTATTATGCAGCAGGCGTGGTTGCGTGCAGTGCCTTGAATGTCATCATTATGCATCCCTATATGCTGGGCACAATGCACGTTGGCATGAAAATGCGCGTCGGAATGTGCAGCATGATTTATCGCAAGGCCCTGCGGCTGAGCAAAACCGCGTTGGGTGATACCACAGCTGGGCATATTGTTAATCTGATGTCTAACGATGTGGGACGCTTGGATTTGGCGACAATTTTTGTGCATTACCTGTGGGTGGGACCTCTCGAGACGCTGTTTATAACATACCTAATGTACCTGGAGGTAAGCCAAAGATTGCCATTCAATGCATTCAATGTTTAGCAATCCGAAAATAACTTTTGTAAATCTCTTGCAGATTGGAATTGCGGCTGTGTTTGGTGTGGCTTTTATGCTGCTCTTCATACCGATGCAGGCCTGGCTGGGTAAGAAGACATCGGTGCTAAGGATGCGCACAGCTTTGCGGACGGACGAGCGCGTTAGGATGATGAACGAGATTATTGCTGGCATTCAGGTGATCAAGATGTATGCCTGGGAGCTGCCCTTTGAGCAAATGGTTGCATTTGCCCGCAAAAAGGAAATTAATGCCATACGACACGTATCCTATATAAGAGGCATATTATTATCGTTTATAATATTCTTGACGCGCGTTTCCATCTTTCTAAGCCTGGTGGGCTACGTACTCTTGGGCACATTTCTGACGCCCGAAGTGGCCTTTGTGATTACGGCCTATTATAATATACTGCGCACCACCATGACCGTATTCTTTCCACAAGGCATTTCGCAAATGGCCGAGGCATTAATTTCTATAAAGCGTGTGCAAAAGTTCATGCTGTACGAGGAGACTGATGTCATTGATAAGTCCTTGGACCTACCCTTAGTCTCGCCAGGAAGCAATCAGACTACAGTGCACTCCAAACTGGAACAGGAGAATGAGGATGCCAAGGAGAAGCTGCTAACACCACCAATGCTGCCGCACATCAATGAAAACGCCGTGCTCTCTGAAGCCCAAATATCCATAACTGCATTAAAAGCCAAATGGGATACCAGCTCACCGGATTACACCCTAAATGGCGTCAATTTGCGCGTGCAACCTGGCACCATGCTTGGCATTGTAGGACGTACGGGCGCCGGCAAGTCCAGCTTGATTCAGGCCATACTGGGCGAGCTGCGTGCCGAATCTGGCGAGATACGTGTAAATGGAAGCTTCTCATATGCATCTCAGGAGCCCTGGCTCTTCACTGGTACTGTTCGTCAGAATATACTATTTGGCCAGGCCATGGACAAACGTCGCTATGCACAGGTGGTGAAAAACTGTGCCCTGGAACGTGACTTTGAGCTGTTGCCGTACGGCGACAAGACAATTGTGGGCGAGCGTGGTGCATCTTTATCGGGCGGACAGAAGGCGCGCATTAGCTTGGCGCGCGCTGTTTATCGCCAGTCGGCAATTTATCTGCTCGATGACCCGCTCAGCGCCGTGGACACACATGTGGCACGACATCTATTTGAGAAATGCATGCGCGGCTATTTGCGTGATCGTATTGTAATCCTTGTCACGCACCAGCTGCAATTCCTGCAGCATGCCGATCAAATAGTCATCCTGGAAAAGGGTCAAGTAAGCGCTGTGGGCACATACGAATCGCTGCGCGAATCGGGTCTTGACTTTGCCTCAATGCTGGCAGATTCGTCACGCGATGAGCATGGCATCGAGGAGCGCTCTCGCTCCAGATCGGGCTCGGCCAGCGATAAGCGACGCAACAGCGAACAGTCGCTCCTATCGCTAGCCGATTCTTGTCTGGATGAGACCTCGGCAGCGCAAATGCATGTGCAGGAGTCACAGGAACAAGGTCGCATCGGACTGGGACTTTATAACAAATATTTTAAGGCTGGCGGCGGTTTCTTTGCCTTCTTTGTCATGATGGGCTTCTGTGTGCTGTCACAGGTGCTGGCCTCACTGGGCGACTATTTTCTGTCATATTGGTGAGTACGAAAACGATGAAGATGCAACTTATTTTTACAAAATATATATTCTTATTGTTCCGCAGGGTTGCCAAGAAGGGCAGCTTAAAAAGTATGCATGCTGCCAACGACACCACAACCATTGTGTCACATGGCCCGGAATCTCGTCTCTCGAGTTGGCTTCACGATCTGGGCTTGTCCGTGGATGCTGAATTGCTGGACACTTATATCTTTACCCTGATTACAATTGCTACCATTGCCATCACCTTGGCACGTTCATTTTTATTCTTCAATGTGGCCATGAAGGCATCCACGGAACTGCACAATTCCATGTTTCGCGGTATTACGCGCGCTGCCATGTATTTCTTCAATACGAATCCGTCGGGTCGTATACTAAATCGTTTCTCCAAGGACATGGGTCAAGTGGATGAGATATTGCCTGCTGTTATGATGGATGTCATACAGATCTTTCTGGCCCTGGCTGGCATTGTTATTGTCATAGCTATTGTTAATCCCTTGTTTCTGGTTCCCACGGTCGTGCTCGGCATCATTTTCTATCAGCTGCGCACGTTCTATCTGAAAACTTCACGTAATATCAAACGCTTGGAGGCCATTAGTAAGTTAAATATAGATACAGTAGTCGCTCGCAAATTAAAACTTCTAGAAATTAGAGTTGATCAAAAAATTAGCGAGCGATTACTGTAATAGCATTTATCATCCATCTGTATATATCTCTATCTAATTAACATCCAATTCACAGCTCGATCGCCCATTTACTCGCACACGGCTGCCTCGCTGACAGGTTTGTCCACGATACGCGCCTTTGGGGCACAGCGGGTGCTGATCAGCGAATTCGATAATCATCAGAATTTGCATAGCTCGGCCTTTTACATGTTTATAAGCACATCGCGTGCCTTTGGCTATTGGCTGGACTGTTTCTGTGTCATCTACATCGGCATTATTACGCTCAGTTTTTTCATTTTTCCGCCGGCGAATGGCGGCGAGGTGGGTTTGGCCATAACTCAGGTAAGATACATCATATTACATGCTTTCAAATGTTATCTTAACCGTATGCCAAATCTCTTGTGCAGGCAATGGGCATGACTGGCATGGTGCAGTGGGGCATGCGCCAATCTGCGGAGCTCGAGAACACCATGACCGCCGTGGAGCGTGTCGTTGAGTATGAGGATATTGAACCGGAGGGCGCTTTGGAGGCGCCGGCTGATAAGAAGCCGCCCAAGAGCTGGCCAGAAAATGGCAAGATTGCCTTTGAGGAGCTTAGCCTACGCTATTTTCCGGATCCCAAATCCGATTATGTGCTTAAATCTCTCAATTTCGTTATCAAAGCTCGTGAGAAGGTGGGCATTGTGGGCCGCACGGGCGCAGGTAAATCTTCACTAATTAACGCATTGTTCCGCCTCTCCTACACCGATGGCTCCATACTGATCGATAAACGGGACACGCAAGCAATGGGTCTACATGATTTGCGTAGCAAAATATCGATAATACCTCAGGAGCCGGTGTTGTTCTCTGGCACAATGCGCTACAATTTGGATCCCTTCGATGAGTATAGCGATGAAAAGTTATGGTCTTCCTTGGACGAGGTCAAACTAAAGGATGTTGTTGCCGATTTACCCAGCGGCTTACAGAGTAAAATAACGGAAGGTGGCACCAACTTCAGCGTGGGTCAACGGCAATTGGTGTGTCTGGCACGTGCCATTTTGCGCGAGAATCGTATACTGGTTATGGACGAGGCCACCGCCAATGTGGATCCACAAACAGATGCACTTATCCAGACAACAATTCGAAATAAGTTTAGGGAATGCACCGTACTTACAATAGCCCACAGGCTACATACGATTATGGATTCTGATAAGGTGCTCGTCATGGATGCTGGCAGAGTTGTTGAGTTTGGCACACCCTATGAGCTATTAACGTGCGCAGAGAGTAAGGTGTTCCATGATATGGTCAAGCAGACCGGTAAAGCAACCTATGATAATCTGGTGCTGGTCGCCAAGAAGGTATATTAATTGTACTTAGGTTTATTCAAATGTAATATATGTTTGATTTACAGGCATTCGAAGCAGCTCAACAAACACGCAGATTATCATCGTGAAGTCAGGCAACATTGTACGTATCTGGGATTTTATCATAGTGAGGACCCGCATCCCAGGATGGCCCTTCGAATGTAAATAAACTCATCCAATTCCAGTTTCTAATACAATATTCCTTTAATTTTATATGTACTTATATGTATGTGCCTATATTATATTATATTATATTGTTAATGTTTATATATTTCCATATATTAAGTGTAAAAATGCAAGGAATTCAGTGCCTTCAAAATAAATGTGAACTATTTGTGTACTTAAAACATAAACTAAGAATTTCAAGAATCAGTTGAGCGTCGGAAAATCAAGTAGAAAGGAGACGTGATAAACAATTAACGCTGCGCCAAAGATTAAAATGGAACATTTGTAATTAAATTAAGTTAAATTATAATTTGTTATTTTTTAAGTTTTTTTTTTTATATTTACCAAGTTGTCTATGAAGCAGCGTTAACGGGTCCACTTTAATGTATTCTAATGTAATGTTAATAAATATGTATGTACATATTAAAGTTGCGACAGTATGGCAACGCTGTCGATGGCGCCGGCAACAGCTGTTACAACAGCTGTTAACTAAATTCCCAGAGAGCAAATAAGCTTTAGTTGCGTTTGGAGCTGCGCACCGAGGACTTGTGTGCACTCCAACTGTTTTTATTAATTAAATGGAACGTTTTTTCCTTTCTATTCTATTTTCGCGATAAGCCGGCGTAATTGCAAAGGTGTGTGCGTGCGTGCGTGTGTGTGTGTGTGTGTCGCGTATCTCTAACTGTGATGAAATTTAAACGAAGCATCCGCATATGCTGCTGTTATGTGTATATCTAAAGCTTGAGCCTCGAGATAAACGTTTGTTTAAAGCGCGGCAAAACGTTTCCAAACGTTTGCACAGTCTATATAGTCCTGCTGTGTAGCGTATACGCGCAACAGTGCAAACGTTTCCCATTACAAAGCAATCCGAGAATTAAACAAAAGGCTTGTGTAAACAAATTGATTAAATACGAAACTCTTATTACAAATATATTGGAACTATTCAAAGATGACAGCTGATAAGCTGGCGCCAAATCCGCGAGAGACGGCCAGCTGCCTCTCCGCAATTATGTTCTGGTAAGTGAGCGCATAACAGAAAGATCTTTTAATTGAAATACTTTTCAGTTTTGTCAATTCAGTATTTCAATAATCATATAAAATCTTTTATCTTTGCAATGGGTTTTTTGTTTAGTTTTATTACATGTCCGAACTTGATCTCTTTAAAATGTTGCTGTCAAGTAGACATGTTCTATCTATCTATTTTTGCCAGAGATAAGATAATATTCATTATTGTTTTTATCACCTGTAATTATACAACATTTGCGTGGTCACTTCTTCCGATTTAAATCCAATTACACAAATATACAATTATATACACACAATTATGTGTTATTAGCAAAAGTAATTGTAAATACTTTTATGTAAAAAAATATATATATATATATAATGCAGCACATAGTTGAACTATAATAGTAATAGAGCTTAGATGATCTGAGCACCTAATTGTATTAATAACTGTTTTAATTATAATCATTCAAACGTTTATCTTGACAGCTTTGCGCTGCCCATATTGTTCAAGGGCCGCAAGAAAACATTGGAGCCCAACGATCTCTACGATGTGCTCAACGAGCATAAGGCGGACAAGTTGGGTGAGAAGTTCTACCAAGCCTGGGAGGCTGAGGTCCGGGCGAAAGCTCACAAAGGCGCCAAAAAAGCGAGCATGCTGCGAGTCGTACTGAAAGTCTTTGGCTGGGAATTGGTTATTTCGGGCATTGTCCTTGCGATACTAGAGCTGGGTCTCAGGTGAGTGTCTAAGGCCATATATGTATATATACCCTATTTATTTAAATTCTCGTTAACTCTTTCGCTGAGTGCTATCGATAATTATCGATTTTTATCGATGAAGCTAAAAAGCAAACATTTTTTCATGAATCAAGAAAATTTTAGTTTTTGGATAATCGATCTTCTAAGGCTTGGTATTTAATATTATAGAAATTTTTTTCGATTACTCTCCCGTTCCGTGTTATCGATAAATATCGATTTTTAGTCCATCTCGAATCTGCGCATCTGAATCAAACGTTTTAAATGTATCAATTTTCTAAAGCTTGGTATTTGATATTTACACGAAAAAGTTTTCGATTACTCTCCCGTTCCGTGTTATCGATAAATATCGATTTCCGATTTCCACTGTTTCTGCATAGCTCGGGTATAATTCAAGCTCGCCAAAATTATGGGAACCAAAATTTAAAAAAATTAATCGATCTTTTAAGGATTTATATTCGAAAGCAGTATTTAAGGCCTAAAAGTTTTTCTAATGAAAAGTTGTGTAGGTACAGGATATCTGCTAGTCGGTCACGCACGACTAGAAAACGCAAACTGTTCTATTTGTAATATATTGATTCCCGTTCCAGAGCCACCTTGCCACTCCTGCTGGCCGGCCTGATATCAGAGTTCAGCTTGACTGGCAATGGACGCAGTCTGAGTGCTCAGCTCTATGGCGCCGGCCTGGTGACATGCATTGTGATGAGCGTGCTGCTGTTCCATCCGTTCATGATGCACATGATGCATCTGGCAATGAAGATGCGGGTGGCGGTCAGCAGCGCCATTTACCGAAAGGCCTTGCGCCTCAGCCGCACAGCGCTGGGTGGCACGACGACGGGTCAGGTGGTGAATCTGGTATCGAATGATTTGGGCCGCTTTGATCGTGCCCTCATCCATATGCACTTCCTGTGGCTGGGCCCGTTGGAGCTGCTGATCGCCTCGTATTTTTTGTACCAGCAAATCGGAGTGGCATCCTTTTATGGCATCGCTATACTCCTGCTGTATCTGCCGCTGCAAACGTATCTGAGCCGCCTGACCTCGGCCCTGCGACTGCGCACGGCGGTTCGCACAGATCGTCGCGTCCGCATGATGAACGAGATCATTGCCGGGATTCAGGTGATCAAGATGTATGCCTGGGAGCTGCCCTTCGAACGGATGGTGGCCCAAACGCGTGCCAGCGAGATGAACGTCATACGCAAGGTGAACTATATACGCGGCATTCTGCTCTCCTTTGAGATCACGCTGGGACGGCTGGCGATCTTTGCCAGCCTGCTAGCCTATGTGCTCGCCGGTGGCCAGCTGACAGCGGAGCAGGCATTTTGTGTGACCGGATTCTATAATATTTTGCGGCGCACCATGAGCAAATTCTTTCCCAGCGGCATGTCCCAGGTGGCTGAGCTCTTGGTATCCTTGCGGCGGATAACCACATTTATGCTGCGCGACGAAACGGATGTGGCCATGCTGGACGAGGAGGAGGACGACGACAGGGCAGCGGAGAGTAAGAAACTCCTAGCCAATGGCAATCAACAGCAGTTCAGCTCGGATGTCTGCGTTGAGATCAAGCATTTGAGAGCACGCTGGAATACGGATCACGCGGAGCCCGTTTTGGACGACATCAATATGAAGCTACAGCGTCAGCAGCTGGTGGCTGTCATTGGGCCCGTGGGCGCTGGCAAGTCCAGCCTGATACAGGCCATTCTGGGTGAGCTGCCCGCCGAGTCGGGCACGATTAAGTTAAACGGACGCTGCTCCTATGCCTCACAGGAGCCCTGGCTGTTCTGTGCCAGCGTACGTGACAATATACTGTTTGGCCTGCCGCTGGACAGGCAACGTTACAGAACGGTGGTCAGGATGTGCGCCTTGGAGCGTGACTTTGAGCTGTTGGAGCAGGGCGACAAGACGCTTGTCGGGGAACGCGGCGCATCGCTGTCCGGCGGGCAGAAGGCGCGCATTAGCCTGGCGCGTGCTGTTTATCGCAAGGCGGATGTGTATCTGCTCGATGATCCGCTCAGCGCCGTGGACGCGCATGTGGGTCGGCATCTGTTCGAGCAGTGCATGCGGGGATTTCTGCGCCATCAGCTGGTCATATTGGTCACACATCAATTGCAGTTTCTGGAGCAGGCCGATCTGATTGTGATCCTGGACAAGGGCAAGGTAACCGATATTGGCACCTATGACCATATGCTCAAGTCTGGCCAGGATTTCGCCCAGATGCTGGCACAGCAGCCACAAGAGCAGACTGAAATCGAAGTGGAGCAAAAGTCCTGCGGCGATGCCAATGAAAACTCAACTACGTATTCTCGCCAAAATAGCGTGGAAAGTCGCAGCAGCATTTCCTCCATGGGCTCAAGTGCGGATGATTCATTAATGGCCCGGGACAAGCCAAAGGAAGTGCAGGAAACGCGCTCAGCCAACAAAATTGGTTGGGGCATGTACCAGAAATACTTCAGAGCCGGCTGTGGCTGGGTAATGTTTCTGCTGGTGGTGCTCCTATGCCTGGGTACGCAACTGATGGCGTCTTGGGGTGACTACTTTTTGTCCTACTGGTAAGTGGAAGGGGTAATGCGAGTTTCATAAGAGTATATATCATTGTAGCATAGATAATTTTAAAGAAATGCATTTTTTTAATGAATTGCCAGATATTTTCTGAGTTTTTATAGGATTCTTATAAGAACATTAGCCAGCCGCTTACATAACCATTTTACATTACATTATTATGTTAAGTAACATTGTGAACTAGCCCAATTTGGTGTCTCTACAAATAAGTAGTTATTTGTTTTAAAATTAAATGTCTTACAGTTGTGTTAGGAACAGTCGTCGGACGATTAGCTTGCCTTTTCACAGGGCTATGTTATGTTAAGTGGCTGTTAACATACATAGCAGAATAGGAGATCATAAACCATAAAAGGCAACAGTCGCAACTCGTTGTTAAAGTTTTTACAGGTCCTTAAAATAGCTCTGTACATTGCAATGTTATGTTAAATAGCTGTAGGTTTACAATTTTGAGCAATTTACATTGTGTATATAATTTATATAATTTATAACTTATATTTTACTTCTATTTGGCAGGGTAAAGAACAACTCGTCCTCTACGTTGGACATCTACTACTTTGCGTCCATCAATGTGGCGCTGATCATATTCGCTCTGCTGCGTACGCTTCTGTTCTTCAGCATGGCCATGCACTCCTCCACCCAGCTGCACAACTCCATGTTTCGGAGCATTACACATGCGGCCATGTATTTCTTTCATACAAATCCGTCGGGTAGGATATTAAACCGTTTTGCCATGGACATGGGTCAGGTGGACGAGGTGCTGCCCACAGTTATGCTGGATTGCATACAGATCTTCCTCACCTTGGCTGGCATTATATGCGTGCTTTGCATTACGAATCCTTGGTATCTGATCAATACGCTGGCCATGCTGCTATGCTTCTATTATCTACGCAACTTCTATCTGAGCACATCGCGGGATGTGAAGCGTCTGGAGGCTGTTGCCCGTTCGCCCATGTATTCGCATTTTGGGGCCACGTTGAATGGACTGCCCACAATACGTGCCATGCGTGCACAGAGGATGCTGATTGCGGAATATGATCATTACCAGGATAATCATTCCATTGGCTATTATACATTCCTGACGACAAGTCGTGCCTTTGGTTATTATCTGGATCTATTTTGTGTGAT